GAGAGAGAGAGAGAGAGAGAGAGAGAGAGAGAGAGAGAGAGAGAGGAGGGGTTATCTTGCATCTGCCTCTCTACCCGACACTGCCCCGCACTCTCACTTAACCTCCACACAGTGCCGGACGGGAAATAACTTAAAATACTTTTTTGTTTTTAAAAATAGATCCTCCTAATGACAGCTCCTCGGGCTCAGTACTCCTGACGACGACGCCGAAGCGTTTTATTCTACTTTCTGATCCCGAGCGGAGCGCAAACAGAGGAGTTACTGAAGTCCCAGACACGCTCCAACGATGGTGACTTTACGCACGGGATCTGAAGGCTGTTCCAACTGACTGCTCTTGTTTTTGGTCTCGACGCTGAAACTCTTCATCATCGCCAGCAACGATCTCCCAAGTTTTGCCGAAAAACACGCAGCGAATGCCGAGTAAGTGAATCCAGGTAAGAGACGTCCTGTTGCATCAGTGTGGACCGGCGCGTCCTCCTGCGCTGCTCGTGTTTGTGAAAGTCGGTGCGCACTCCGGTTATCTCTGCTGCACAACAAGCAGCGATGACAGCAGAGGATTTGTGGCGTATCGGGTCTTTAAACCTGCAAATTGGACCGTGATTAGACCCTACGTGACCTGCAAAAACGAACTCACAGATGACATTTCTCTTTTTTTTTGTTTAGAAAAGTTTTTAAGGTGTTGTTGAGCAAAACAAACTAAAATAAGTAATTATAAGTAATTTATGAATGTTTTAACTTACTCTCAGAAAGGACCAAATAATAACCAATTTTAAAAACGACTGGCACGAGTTAACTGTCAATTATTGTTATTATTAGTTGTAATCAACGACACACGTGCACATGATATATCAGTTATTCCCCCTTAAAATATCCAGAATTAAGCTTATTATAAACACACCAAAACCGCGTGGCTGTGATTTTGCCCCACTTTCATCCACTGAGACTCATGTTGGAGCTGATGAGGTGCTTAAAAGAAATACAATTGTATCATGAAATTTGTGCTCCGGCAAACCACACAGATGTGAAATGTGACCTCCAAACACATGTTAATGAATATGCAGTTCTATCTTCTTTTTTTTTAATCCTCCAAGTTTCAGCTGGTGAGGTGTTTACTTCCAAATTAAATATACTCGGTAAATTTTTGCCACAACAGATGCAACTATATTGTGCAAGAAAAAGCAGAAACGTCAGTTTAACTTACTCACTCCATCCCTGTCAGCAGAAATGGTTGAGCGGTTCTGTTCCATCAGAAAATGGTTCTACGGACTCAGAACCCATTAAGAGACATTTAAAAAGAGTCTCTGAAGCATGTACACAAAAGCTCATTAATAACAAATTAAAGACCTTTAAAAGCTTTAATTTTCAAGCACTTTTCTTTAAAAAAATTGTTTCAAGAAATCGGAGGGCTCCTGAAGTCATCCCATCCGGACCCACTGGAGTCTTTGAGATGATACTTCCAGTAGTTTCTTCTTCGGCCACACAGCGGTAGCCTTCTGTCCGGACAGGCTGCACCATGTGTTTCATGTGCTGGAATATAACAGAGAGAAATAACATAGAGAAAAAAAGTGGTGCGTCATTAGGGCCAAAGTTAACTTTCCCTTCAGAGGTCACAGCGCCTGACCCCAGACGAATGCGCGAGTCACAAATTAAAATAGACTCGGAGTCCTAAAACGGACCCATTAGGAGACAATACAGAGGGACAACAGGACGGTGTCCCAGCACGGCCACAGAGTTGAGAAATAAATGTGTAAGTCTCCTTTTTTTTTACTCTCCTCCATCATGATTTCCAGTTGCCTTTCTTTACGTTAGATCGTTAAAAGTTTGCAAGGCGAGTCTTAACTTGGGTGCTAAAAAATTGTGAATTTCACTTGTGAGTTGTGCAGCCTGATAGAGTGACAGGCCGCGCTGATTGTGCATGAAGTTACGTTGTGGTCGCGTGAACTTGAGCCATGCACGCAGGTACAGTTTTTATTTATTTTGTCCGGAGTCAGGAGTCTGAAGCTCGGACAATGAGGATGCGACAGGGGGTACGGGAGGACAAGGCGCACGACGACGGACCTGGAAGTGACCGATAGAGCCACTTCAGGGTGTTCCCCGTATTTAGCGCCACGCTACACCTCTCAGATAAGCCGCTGCTCGCCTGCAGATAAGGAGATTTTAGAGAAACAGAGCGAGAGCGAGAGAGAGAGAGCGAGAGAGAGAGAGAGAGAGAGAGAGAGAGAGAGAGAGAGAGAGAGAGATCACAAAATGAGTCTGGAAACCGCTGAAGAGGAAACGCACAATTGTTCCTCTGATTTGGCAACTTGGTTTGGAGTTTTTGCGCAATTTCCCAGCATCAGTTTTAATTGTTTTACGCATCCACACTTTTTTGTTTTTTTTGGTTTGCGCATCAAATCACTCCGCTATTCAGAGTTATAATTGCCCGACTTGACAGATCTTCAAGTTGCCAGTTTGGACCTGCCCACGCGGGCCAGCGCAGTAAATCACAATTTCCAACAAGTTGTTTAATTGTTTGGACTGTGGCAGGACAATTTATAGACCCCCACCCCCCAAACTTCCTCCCCCCTCTCTTGTAAGTGAGAGTGTCTGTCTGAAAAACAATCCGAGCAGGAGGGGGTTGGGTGAGTGGGGGGGGGGGGGGGGGGGGGGGGGGGG